GTAGTTAGGCACGCTAACGCTAGCCTATATAAATATGACGCTCTATGTATCAAAACAAAACAAAACTTACCTTCTTATATCATATATATTAAATCCTTATCCTCAGACCAGTGCTTTTGAGGAATTTGAAGATCAGCTTGTTTGCTTAATTTCTTGATTTACTTTCGTATATTGACTTGAAATCCATGTCCTTGATGTTATGTTGTTCCAGTGCAGTTTTCAGAATGAGTCTTTGTCTGTTATAATCCGGGCAGCTAAAAAATACATGATGTATTGTCTCTGGTTGTTGGCAACCATCACAATTGCCATTTGGATGTTTTCCAATCAGATGCAGTGATGAGTTTAGTCCTGAGTGTCCCAGTTTTATCCTGCTGTTAATGCTCTGTTCTCTTCTACTACTCCCCCAAGTGCTTCCCGTTCCTACTTCCCTTTGTATCTGGTATAAATGTCTTCCTTTAGTGTTACTGTCCCATAGTTTTTGCTATTGTTGCTTGATAACAACTTTTGTAACATATTTGACTTCTGCTCTACTGATGGGTACCATAATATCAATCTGGTTTGCTTTCAAACCAAATTTTGCCAGTTGATCCACTACCTCATTCCCTCTAATACCCACATGCGCTGGAACCAACACAAATTGAGCAACAATTCCCAGATGAACTAACCTAAACATGATGTGTAAAATATCCTGACGACATTCTAAAGAGAAGTTGTTTATACTCTCCAGAGCTGCGCTGGAGTCAGAGCAAAAGTCACATTGACTGTATTTCCTCTACCCACTGAAGTGCTAGTGAGATAGCCATCATCTCTACTGTATATACTGCGATGTGATCACTCGTTCGCTTTCCCACTTTGACCTTTAATTCAGGAACATAAAATGCACAACTAGTTTGACAATTTTCTGGATTTTTGGATCCATCAGTAAATATTTGTATAAACTGCCCATATTGTTCATGTAGAACAGTGTTCACATAAGCCTGCACATTGATTTGACTTTTCATTGAATGTAACCGTTTCAATAAGGATAAATCTACTACAGGTTGAGGTAGCAAACATGGTGCAACAGCCGATAACAACACCGTCGGACTAATATTCCATTCTTTAACTTTGAATTCGTTACATAATTCCGAAACACAAAAACGTTCTTTTTTAATTTTGTTACTTTCCCAACTTGTTTTTACAGTTTGTTTAGTAGGGTGAGTATCTTTATGGCCCTGTAGATTTGCCCAGTAATTACAGTGTTTCCCCTAGGATGGAGTCATAGCAGCGGTGTAAAAAATAGTTGTTCTACCATCTGAGAGAGCCCCAGGTCACATGCTGCAGGACCTGCTGGTCTGCTGCTAGCAATGACACACACACACACACACACACACACACACACACACCAACCACTCTCGGGACCCCCTGGTAGTCACACAGCTCCATAATATAACTGGCAAAAATGTAAGAATTTCATGCATCGGCCTACAGTGGGAAAATGGTTGAATCTGGTGGAATAGAGTAGACATATCAAATATCACTACTTTTCTTCTAAATTAAATGCTGACATTATAAAATGCATGGTTTTATACTGCAAAGGCAGTGAGATCAAAAAATGTGGTTTGAATGGAAGTCAATGGCATTTTTGGCCACAAAGGTGTCCAGAGGTAGTATCTGACACTACGTAAAAAATAATAATGCAGTCAAATCAATTTTGTTGCTCATCTTTGACATATCCAAGACTCTAACCACCAAAGTTCCATCCCCCTACTACTATAATTATTATATGGACATTTCTTTCATTTTTTATGTTTTTTTATCATAAATAATGAGATAATTCAAATAATGAAACAGGCATTTAAAGGGTTAAAATCCAGAAAATGGTTGAATGTTTGTTAGTTTTGAGTGCGTTAGAAGTTGTTTAAGTGATTAAAGAAAAGAAAAGTAGAAAAAAATATTGATGTATCATGATTAAATAGCATTTGTTTGGGGCGTGTACATTTTTGCCACGAAGGTGTCGAAAGGATGAACATTCCAGGAGGGCACAAGGGTTAAACCAAAACATAAATTCAGTACAAACCAGCCTTCCACCAAACTCCCTCTTTCCTCATCTGTTGCCCGATGTTTCACTGGAAAAATATTAATAGATAAGAATCAAAGTTTAACTGTTGAAGGTTTCCTGTTGTCCCGTACAAAACTCTATCCCTTTCTCTGTCCCTTCTTCTATTTCATGCTAATGATGCACCTTCTTCTTCTTCTTCTTCTTCTAGGTCTGCCTCACCACATCTAACTACTTGTTTGATTTGAAAACCCATATTCACTCACATGGACATGTACAGGTGGGCATTCAACTTTAGGAACAACTTCACCTGGTTGATTCTCATTCTGTACCATTAACCAATACTAACTAGGAGATAATGCAGTTTTCGTGTTGGCTAAAAAAAAAGTCTGTTTTGTGTCAGCTCTCTGTGTGTGTGTGTGTGTGTGTGTGTGTGTGTGTGTGTGTGTGTGTGTGTGTGTGTGTGTGTGTGTGTGTGTGTGTGTGTGTGTGTGTGTGTGTGTGTGTGTGTGTGTGTGTGTGTGTGTGTGGGGTCATACAGAGATCAATCTGCATGGTTAGTGTGTATTTAAGAGCGATGGGGGAGGGGTTAGAGGCTGTGAGTAAGACTGTTAAGATTGAATTATGTGAGTCACAAATTGTAAAACTTTAAGGATGGGGGAGGATGCATTTTGGTCATTTTTTCTTACGTGGGGGATGGGATTTACTCTCAAATCTTCTACTGGTCCACATGCACCGTTCCACTTCTGATGGCATATGCAGAGGGAATTTAAATGATCATTGTTTTGCTTATACTGCATTAAAGCTGACAAGCATATGAGCATTTTACCATAATAATTTCCACAACACAAGAAAGGGCAAAGAGTGCAAACACCCTTAAAAGTGTTTATCTGTCTCATGAACAGCATTAATATGTGGGTCCTATTTTTTTGATTTTTGTTACTGCAGTTTTCCATATTCCTGTTTCTATCTGCTTTTATAAACCTCTGCATGTTTCTTTGTTCTTTACCAACAGACAATGATTGATGTCTTCCAGCAAGGTATTTCCTTTTTCTTTTGTTGGGAAAACCTATGTTCTGAGTGCACGTCTTGTGTGCGGTCTTGTAAAAATGCAGAACAAAAAGTAATGATTTTTGTTTGGAAATGAGACTTGAGTTTGAGCTTGCATGGGATCGTTGTAATGCTAAAGCTTGGAAAACTGGACAAACTAGCTGAATAATAAAAGCAAACGATATAAGGTTGGCATCTATTGATACAAGATACTACTTAGTCAATCTTAAATGTGAATTTATTTTAGCATTAGCTTTATTTCCAGTATACTGTTTTGCTGTTCATTTGATAATTTATCAGCAGTCCAGTAAAAGTTATTTGAAAATCTGCAGCGAAGTCTGGACGCAGTGGAAACAAAATGGCACTTAATGGTTTTTGTATCAGCATTTTTGTTGTTGTTTATATCTTAGTGTTTTATTGCACGTATGGTAATTTGCTTTGGATAAAAGATAAACTAAATGAAATGTAATGAAAAAATGTAAAGTTTTAAGTTACAAAAGAGTTGAGGTCTCCTGTAAATTATTCTTGGGGTTAGGTTAAAATTAGCTTAAAGAAACAATAATGTAACGGTTTACTAACTTAGCCAATTAGATATGCAATGCACTGCCCCCAGGTCAAATGGCTGTTAAGGGGTCCCTTTTCTTGTAAGCTGCTTTCGAGAATGTGTCGCTCAGATTTTCTGTCCAGTAGATTGACCTTTTTTTTCTTGTTAATTTCTTTTTAGATATGTTCAAGGGTCATGGTAAGCCTTTTTTTCTTTCTTCCTTTTTGTAAATAAATTGTGTAAGCATACTGAAACCTTGAGCTGATTATGTTTTATTGACTTGGTAAAAATAACGTAAAACACACAGATTTATTAAAACATTTCAATGTCACTGCCAATTAACTTCAATCTATTTATTTTACTTTTTGAATTTAAGTAATGTTGGCTTTCATAAAAATCTAAAGTCTAATCCTCTTTTCTTCCATTGTAATGTTTACTCTACAGGCATCTTTCCCTGCATTGAGTTGATCAAGTCGCGAGTCAGACGTGAAATCCCATGGCCCATCATAGGTCAGTAAAGTATCTCTAAGTTGGTTTGTAATTACATTTTTAAGCAGGAACGACCTGCCCCCCCCCATGTCAAATTCTCGCCCACTTTTCAAGATTTTAAGTCCCGCCTAAAGACCCACCTCTTTTCCCTCAGTCTGAGCTATGCACTACCTACTTGTATGCTTTTATTGTGTATCCATAGCCTTTATGTGCCTTGTATTTATTCTCATGTGTGCCTTTTATCTATTCTTATGTGTGCCTTTTATCTATTCTTGTAATATTATATTTTATTATAATGTTATGTTCATTGTGAAGCACTTT